AATCATCAGATCGGGTTGGGATGGACTCACTCTGAGTAGTACTGTGAGATGTATTGTAGCTCTTCCCCCTAAAAACCCCCAAGCCCTAAACCCTCAAGCCCTAAACCCTAAACCCTCAAGCCCTAAAACCCTCAAGCCCTAAACCCCAAAGCCCTAAAGCCCGAAAGCCCTAAAGCCCTAAACCCAAAGCCCTAAAGCCCTAAACCCCGGAAGTCTTTCAGAGGCCCCAGAAGCCCAAAGGCCCCACCGAAGTCCCTTCAGAGCCAGGTCTTTAAGGGCCAGGTGCTGACCCTCCCAGCTAAAGGCTCGGACTTTTTGGGCTTTGAGGGCTTGAAAGGTTTGGGGTTTAGGGTTTAGGGGTTTAGGGGTTTAGGGGTTTAGGGGTTTAGGGGTTTAGGTTCCGAGGGTTGCTATAAGGGTTTCTCGCATTGTTCCTTTCGTGAGTTTACCCTCTTTTTTTTGAGCGGGTGGGTTTGCCATGTATGGTTTACTGGCAAGGGGATGTTTGCTCGATTTTGGGGTTGGGGGTTGGGAGTTGACTCGACAGGGTTATCATTTTAGGTTGAAGGTTTAGGGTTTCATTGAAAGGGTATCGTCAGGGTAACTACTAAAGAGGGCATCTGGCAGGGTTCAGGGTTTGTTGGGCAGTCTTGTCTGTCCCTTCACTTGCTTTTCGTGTACATGTTCGCTCTCTTGTCCTGTAGCCCTCTCTTTCCCTATTCCCGCTCTCTCCCTCTCTCCGTCTCTCTGTCGCAGATCGTGTCGTAGGGCGGCGAATTCAGGCACCCACGTGCCGAGACCCAGCGGGTGCCATAGAAACAGCTGCAATGCTACGGGAAGCAGGGAAGTTCTTGCTTGGGCTGATTTGAGCTTGGCTCTCTGTGGTCTGACTCTCTTTTGGATTGCTCTAGGTTGTGACAGAGTGGTTTTGCCGTTGGCACGTCGTGTCATCCTGTCCAGCTTGGCATGTGTCAGTTCTGCTGCTGCAGACCCCTGCTACCCATTTCCCAACCCCTGAACCCTGAACCTGTATGTGAAGCGGGAGTTTAGGCAAAGACTGAAATCCAGTTCAGGTGTCAAGCCAGTTATCTTCAAAGCCTTCGCCTTATCCCAGACTTGGGCTTTGGGGTTTGAAGTGCTCCTGTAGCGTAGCTCGCCCTGTTCGGGGCATTCTGAGTCCCGTAAGCCAGAAAGCCTCAACCTTGGAGGCTTCAGTTCCTGTAAGCTGCATTTGTATACGAATGCACGCCATATCAGTGTCACACCAGATCAGCCGAACGATGATGCATCATCTGATGCCACATCTCACCATTTCGGCACCAAAAACAGGCGGATCACAACGAATCATACAGTACACCAATCAAGCAGCATGTCTTATCGGGTCGTTCTAAAACACACAATGCTATGGATGATTTGTGCCAAGACCTTGACATCACTACACGCATGTCTGTTTGCATATATGCACATGCACGTGAACACAGACATAATGCATATTATACCCATCTGCGTGCGTACCTACGCACACATGTACCTACGTACCTACTTGGCTACTTGGCTACCTAGCTGCCTACCTGCCTTCCTGCCTGCCTGCCCTTCTGCCTCCGGTCTGCCCGCATCCATGCATGCGTGCATACATGCATACGTAGACACATAGCAAGGCAGCCATATTATTTACTATAGATCCCTATTGTAGAAAGTTCCTCTGAGGTTGGGCAGTCCTGGGGCGACACCTGGCTTGGTACCATGGCCCTAAGCCCAGCTGCTACCACGACAAGAACGCCACGAACAGAAAGCGTCGTCTTTCATGTATCCATCCCCTTCCACCCCTATAGTAAACCCTAAACCCTAAACCCTATAAGCCCTAAGCCCTAAGCCCTAAACCCTAAACCCGAAACCCTAAACCCTACTTGGATGTTCTGGGATCCTTCAGGCTGCAAACCCCAGCGCCGTGATCTACAGCTTCGAGCCTGTGCAGGACCTGAAGCTGCTACAGGACACCAGGGACCGGCGGTTTGAGCTCAGGCTTAGGATTTAGGGTTTAGGGTTTAGGGTTTAGGGTTTAGGGTTCAGGGTTCAGGGTTTAGGGTTTAGGGTTTAGGATTCAGGACTTGTGCTATCCCATGTACCATGAACCCTAAAAATGAACCCCATAAACCCAAATATCCCGTGAACCCTGAACCCCAGAAATGTAGCTTTCCAAACCCAAAAAGGCCTCGCTTTTGGACTCGCCGATCCCATCAGGGCTCTCTGAAACACACCCGAGAGGGAGTGCTGAAACTCTGCAGCTGGGCGCTAAACTTTAAGAAGCATGAAACTTAAGCCGACCACAAGGGCACCCAACGCTGAACGCTGCAAAAAAGCCCTCACGATCCCAAGAGCCGTCGGCCAGAGCCACGGTTTAGGGTTTAGGGTTTAGGGTTTAAGGTTTAGGGTTTAGGGTTTTGGGTTTAGGGTTTTCGGTTTAGGGTTTAGGGTTTAGGGTTTTGGGTTTAGGGTTTAGGCTTTAGGGTTTAGGGTTTAGGGTTTTGGCCACAACAGGACCTTTCGAGCTCCAGGCCACGCGTGAGCCTCAAGTTTGGCCTTGCGGCGCAGACTCGCAAGGCCCAGTTTCGAGTCCGCCCGGCATGGCGCTTCGGGTTGAACGGCCTTTAGGGTCTAAGATAGGGGCCTAGATAATTAGCTATACTACTTTGGGGGTTCCTTATTCCTTATTATAACAAAAGTGTAATATACCCCAGAACACCATTCTAATTATTAAGGCCCCTACATTAGAGTCTAGAGTTTTCACGGCTTCGCGTCGTAAGGGTGTAGGAAGTCTTCGTCCTTTAGGGACACCCAGTTCGGGAGTACTTCATGTAACGAGGGATGTGCAAGGGATGTTGGGTTTAGGGTTTAGGCTTTAGGAGGGATGTGTAAGGGATGTTGGAGGTTCTGGGTAGATTGTGAGATTTTGGGGTTTACGCGGAGCCTTTCTCGCTGTTGAGGAGCTGATTTCAGAATGAGACACAATAGGGGCGTAGGAATTACAGGGTATTGGTTTCCTCCTCAAGTGGGGGTTTCCGAAAATAGGGGACCCTGAAAAAGTACCCTAAATACTAGGATCCTTATTTATTTTCGGAAACTCCTAAGTGTGTATGAGAAGACAGCTTTTGGGAACCTCTGCCAGGTCTGGGGCACCCAGCCCAGTGGCCTTGACAACTGGAACGGCACTCTCGAGGTGCATCTGGGTTGTTTAGGGTTTAGGGATTTAGGGTTTAGGGTTTAGGGTTTAGGGCCCCGGCTTCTAGAGCTTCCGTAGTTTGATGGTGACATGGTCTACGAACCGTGGGTCTAGAGTCGTAGAAGAAGAGACTGCCCTAGAAGGATGTGGAGCTGCGCGATGCTGATGGCGTCTTCTCGGAGATCCGGAGGGACCACGTGCGCTGGCAAGGGCTCGCCCAGACTTTCGCACTCAAGACTCAGACTTGATGCCAGGGTCGTTCCGCCGACCTTTTGTACCTGAATTGTGGGATCCTTGGCGTCCCTACACCCTTAACTGAGTAGATGGCCTGGGGCTCCGAGGTGAGGGATGTGAGTACGAGGTCCTGCAGCGCCTTGCAGACACAGGCCAGCTGCCTGGTGGGACCTTCTCATCATCAACTTGGGTCTCGAAAGCCGCAGGATGGTTGAAGAAGATCCCACGAATGGTTCGACTCCCATCTGATCGGTTTTCACGGGAGATACGGCGGGGCTGGAGCGGTGTCTGAGGCAATTTTTTGGCATGCCGGTGGAGCTCCATGGTACACCCGACCTGGTGTTTCCGTGAGAGTTCACGTCCTCTGCACAAGGCCCTAGTCGAAACTCTGGCATGAGCTGCCAGGATCCAGCGTTGTACTTTGGACCAGAGGCTTCGGGAATCGCATAGGCCCGGTGGAAGTAGGGTCCCCAATATAGGTCCCCAATAGTTTAGGGTTTGGGGTTTAGGGTTTAGGGTTGGTCCTTTTTTAGGTCCCCAATATAGTACGGCACCCAGAAAGGGGCCCTGATTTGGGAGAACGGTGGAGCCGTGACATGGTACTCCGCGCACGGCTGTCCGGTGGTGCAGGCTCGTGCGCGCTGTGCACAGTACCGAGCCGCGGGCTTATCTCGGACCACGGTTCTTATTATTCTCGGCTTTTAGGGTTTAGGGTTTAGGGTTTAGGGTTTATTAACAGTCATATTAGTACCACTAGTATTGTATTCTTGCCGTTGCGACGACGACGACAACTACGACGACTACCTGCTGCTGCTGCTCCTGCGCCTACCTACCTACTATACTACTACCACTACTACTACTACTACTACTACTACTACTACTACTACTTCTACTACTACTACTACTACTACTGCTACTACTACTACTACTACTACTACTACTACTACTACAGCGGCGACGACGACGACGACCGCATGTACTGCTTCTACCACCCCCTAATCTTATGCAAGAGATGTTGGAGTCTCTTCAAGGCTTTGGTCGTTGCGCGGCCTCGGAGAGACTGATCCGTTCGGTGCCTTTGCTCTCTGATTAGCTTCAGGAGATTGAGGGTCTAGGGCTCAGGACTTAGAGTTCGGATAGGCGTTCGGGGTCGAGAGTGTAGGAGAAGCTGAGAGTCCAAATGTTGGAGGATTGGGTGGTGCCGATCTCAGGACAGCTTGCCTGACCTTGGCGCAGACCACCTGACATAGTGATGATCCTCTCGTGTTCAAGGCAGGGGTGTCGCTGCAATGGTGAAGGCCCTCTTGAACTTCCCATGTCCCGATTTCTGATGTTCAGCTGACGAAGGTGGTTTTCGGTCTCCCCTGAGCTCGTGGGTGATGCTATGCGCCATGGACTTTATCCGCAACTTCATCCGGCAAGAAAGGCCCGGCCGGTTTGGGCTTTAGGTTTCGATCTTCGTGTTCAGCAAGTTTCGGGTTCAGGGCGTAGGGTTTAGCGTTTCGGGTTTTGGGTTCACTGGATTACGGCCAGTGGATAGAAAGAGCGAGGACTTTCATGGTAACCCACCAGAGGCTCAAGAGTGCCATATGGGAGCACTCATTCACCCAGCTGTTGCACCCTGCCCGTCAATTCGCATCTACCCCCTTAAACGCCCAAACCCGAGGTAAGCCTCAGACCTTCCTATACAAAACCCTGAAGCCCCGGATCCTGAACCCCGAAACCCCAGAAGCCTGAGCCCTAAACTCTGCTCCGCAATCTCACACCCAGCAACAAATTCTGCTAGGCCGACAGCACAGAGGAGCTCCGTCCGTCCGCCTCTTCAGCCCGGAGACTCCGAGATCGCTTCCCTGAGCGTGAGTTTGTATTAGGGCTTTATGTAGGTCTTAAGGGTTTTGGGGTTTAGGGTACCTAACTATAACTATAACTTGTAACTGTCTTTGTTTTCGGTTATGGTATACAGAACTATAGCAGTTTTCCATCAGTTGCAGCAGAGTCTACCCTCCTTGGATTCAGGAGTTCTTACCACGGCTGCAAGCCTACTCAGAGTCTCTTTGCTAACCTGGGGGGTTTAGGGTTTAGGGTTTAGGGTTTAGGTTACCTGGGGTAACCTGGGGTATAGGGCGCGGGGATTTAGGTTTGCGGGTGTAGCGGTGGTCTGGGACAGCCCTCTCCTGGGTCTCGACGAGAGCAGAAGTGCCAGAAGACGAGCTGACGTCCAAAGTGTCCGATCCTCTCACCGTTTAGGGCATGTTTAGGGTTTAGGGTTTAGGGTTTAGGGCTTTGGGGCTTTAGGGTTTAGGATTTAGGGGTTTAGGGTTTAGGGTTTAGGGCATGATGGCATTTGAAGGAGCATCGGAGCCTTTTGGCCGGCGTCCTCAAAAAAGTCTCCTCTTGGGTGCATGCAGTCCGTCTTGAAATCCAAGCCCCGAGATCTGTGCGGAACAGAAATAGCCGAGCCGTACTACCTGGAGGTTCATGGGTAGTTATAAGTAGGGTTATAAGTCCCCTAATATGGGTTATAGTTATGGTTACCCTGCTTATAACCCCACTTGTAACTACCCATGAACCTCCAAGTATGGTCCGATGCAGGTGAAGTCCTGGGGCCTTCCCTGGAAAGTCTTCCTTCGGAAGAAGAGCCGCCAGGACACGAATCTAGGATTCTAGAGCTTTTCAAGGGCCGTGTTCTTCATTACTTACCCAAAGCCGTCTTGAAATCAACAAGGCCCAAAAATTTGTGTTTGCCGTCTTCTTTATTGCTTACCCAAAGCGGTCTTGAAATCAACAAGGCCCCTATAGTACGGTCAACAGACACCCCCCTGTTCGTCAGGATCCAGAGTTCACGCGCTATGCTGGGAGCTAAGGTTTGGGGGTAAAAGCCTGTTGCGTTTAGAGTTTAGGGTTTAGGGTTTAGGGCTTGGTTCAGCCAGAGTCCCTGGTTGGGCAACTGGAAGCGGCTTCTTCTTAGCGTTGGAAGTCTCTGCGGATCCCGCTTTCCGATTCTCGGGCAAGTAAGCTTTCCATTGCTGCTCTAGCAGACCAACTGGGGCCGGAGTTCAAGGTTGCGGCAGGGTTTAAGGGTTTTGGGGTTCAG